CCTCTTTTCTAGCTGCCATATTGTCATGTCGTGTACCTAGCATCTTGAGGGACAGGTGGGGTGACCTCTGAACTACAGAATCCCAAAAGAGTGTACTGGTGAGAAAAAAATCTAGATTTTCCCAAAATTAAATCTTTATAAATGGCAAATTCGAATTAATCGATTAAATCGATTTATCGCCCAGCCCAATGCACAGGTTAATTCAAACATATCTACATTTCAGATCAAGTGTTCCTCTTTCATTATTTTGGATGTTTTTAACACTTTAAAAGTCACTTGTATTAACTGTGACTGACAGCACCATATGTTGTATTAGCAGCTGAAACTGTAACATTTTCTTTTACTTCATTTGAACAAATAATCATGAGAAAGATGAAGCTTTTGAACAGTTACTTCTTTTAATTTTTTTACCTAATATTTTAATCCTTCCTTAAAATGAAGAATCTTTGRTTCAGTGAACCAAATGCACCAGGTCCCATCCACACAGGAACCCTTTTTGTGAATACGTAAGAAATTGTTGATCGTTTAGCCTTATCTCTACATGGAAACAGGACATAAGGAGCCGCACGGTGGTCATTTTCCACAAACGGGTTCCAGAGTGAAAGAATCTTGAAAGCATACTGTTGCATTTTTGTGTGGACATCCAARACCTAATCTTTCAACATACAGACTTACCAAAAACAACAACTACAGTAGGTTTGACTTTGAGTTGTAGACGTCCATTACCTCAGTATAAAACCTGTTTATTTTCAAGCAGCAGACAAGGCTGATGAACAATAAATTTGCGTAGAATACAGTAGAACAAAAGGTTTCCATCTCTTCATTAAACTAGATTTAGGAAACAAAAACTAGAAAAAAATATGTAAATCAAGCAAGATTCCACCAGTTGTTTTTATCTGCCCTGTCCTGCCAGTGACACAAAATGTTACCTGCCCAAAACAWTATTAGAAAAAATGTGTAGTGGACAAACTATATTTTATTATATTGTTACAAAAATAAAAGGTCTTACGCTTGGAAGCATGGTGATATTAAGAGAAGTCAGATTAAAAACATTTTTTGGTCATGCCACCAGATGATCCCAGGAAGTAAAAAAAAAGTCCACTCCTCATTATTCTTAATATTTCTCCATATTTTTTGATATGAATAAAATAAATGGTTTACATTCTCAGTCAGGCAGGGACCGGGAGACATCCGCCTGCCTAAATTAGGTTTTACAGCGGGTAAAATAAGTATTGAACACGTCACCATTTTTCTCAGTAAATATATTAC